CGTAATTTTTATTTAGTATAATGACTATAATTTGTCGTTTAAAAACGAAATTATACATTATGTTTTATAGTAATGCTATACATTTTTTAGTTAGAAAATATTTAGATAAAAAATATATAATAGTATCACAAACATACATAATATTATCACAAAATGTATAACTTTAATTTTGAATCATAAATTATCAAAATTCTAAAAATATATATATTTATTATAAAAATACATGATACATATCATAAAGAGTGATTCTACTTACACCACTACTTTATCTCTTTTATACCTTTTATATGAGTTTTTTTTTTTTTTAACTTTATCCATGTGTGAAATTACCTTTAAGGACAAAATACTAAAATTAAATATATTTTATTACCTCCTTACAGCCCTTAGTCTTCAATCTCTACTTCTCTTCTTCCTTTCTCAATTTTTCTTCTATCTTACACATCTCTTTTCAAAAAGTGAGAATTAGTGTTTTAAACATAGAATAAAGCAATAGATGAAAAAACGGTGGTAAAGAACCATAAAAAAAGTGAAATGAGTTTTTTTATTTGTTTGGTAGGTTTTTGTTTCGTTTTTCTAAATTGTCCTTCAACTTTTGTTTGGTGTTTCGAAATCCAACAAAATAAAATAGCCCGACATTACATTGCCGAACAAAAAATATATATTTGGTAATCAACTGCCAAATAAAATATACATTTCTGATAACCCAAAGCCAAATGTTTTTGATTTGTTTGGCTACTCATTACCATATATTTCTAGTTTCATTTTTTTTAATTTTATATTTTTTTTGCTTGGAAAGATTATACTTATACTCATTGCAACAATGCAAGTACTACATTATTAGTGGACTCCAATCTTAAATTCATTATAAACGAGATTTGTTAAGTTTTTTTATGAATACGACTTTTTTCTTATTTTTAATTTGTATTAAGTTTTATTAATAATTTGATGTCTAAATGTATTTATTATCTTTAGATTTTTAGTAGTCGTCAAGCATTAGTTAAATGGGCTTCTAACGTTAGGGAGAAGACTGGATTTGTCATTGTTATAAAGACATCAGATGGCAAATAATTGGATTTATCTTCATCACTCGTGTGCTAATAGATGGAAGAAAGCATATACTACTAGTATTCATCAATTCTGTACGCTTGTCAGCTTGATGTAGTAACTATCGATATAGACAAATTGTGATAACATATTTGATTGATAGATGCAAATAATGACAGATTTTATGAATGTTTTTTATGGAAGTTTGTACACTTGATATTTTTATGAATATTTTTATGGATACTTTTTTATGTATGATTTTATGGATGCGTGTTTGATTTATGGATGCTTGAAGGAAAAAATAAATCTTTTAACGTATAACGACAAGTGGCTAGACAAATCTATTATAATTTGGCAACATGACAGTAGAGTAATCTAATTTGTATAACAATGTATCACCGAACATGCACTTCATAAGTGGCCCCGAATTAATTTCTTGTCATCATCTAATCGAACGGCAATATATTGTTGGAAAAGAAAAGTTTGTCTAGTAACATGATACTAGATTAGTTCAAATTCATTAGTATTGTATTACCGAACAAGTTTGGCACAAATTTAAAAATCATTGTTTAGAAGAAAATGGCTTGCAAATGTATAGAAACAAAATACTAGAGAAATATATTTTTTCCAATAACATAACACTGAAGGAATGTAAATTGTTTAGCACTGTGTGACCGAATATGCACTTCGTTGTGGTCTCCACTCAATATCTTCTCTGCGTCTTTCTCTATTCTCTTCAAAAACTATTGCTGTCGTTAGGTTTTTATTCTTGGCAATCCCGGTTGACAAAACTCCTTTCAGTTGTACTTGCTTTCGCACTTTTTATTTCAGTGAGGCTATGAGTCTTTAGATACGAATCCAACCCGAATTGTGTCTTGTAGAGAAGTTTGTGATGTTAATGCTTTCAAGATTGCCACTTCGCTGATTATGACGGGAATCGAGCTGCCCGGTCAGCTCGCAGGGGTCGAGAGGGCAGCGTCCCTTGGCGGGTCCGGGGCAGTGCCTAGGCGGGGTCTAGGGGCAGCGCCCCCGAAGCAAAATGCAAAATTGCATTCGAAGTTGCATGTCCGCCCTTGCTCGCTCGAGCGAAGGAGTTCTCGTTCGAGCGAAGGCTATGTCTGTGTAAAAACCTGAAAGAGATGAATGTACGCTCGAGCGAAGGGTGCGTGGCTCGAGCGAAGTCACTTATGGAAAACACGTGTTTTTAGTTCCTCGCTTGAGCGAGCTTCGCAGTCCCAAATTTCTATAAGTACGTGTTTCTGTTAGATTTTAGGATTACTGCTCTAGATATTCTTTTTGGATATTAAGGTTTATATCTGGGGATATTTTACTAGTTTTCTTTGATGTTTCATTGAGTATTCAACTCATGGGTTAAGAAGCATACATCAAAGGTTTGTTTGTTTATTTTACACAAAAGAGAGAGTTGTTCTTCGAAGGATTTTGAATAATTTGAGCTTGAAGTTTTGGTGGATTCTGGAGTGGCTCATCGTCAAGACAATTCTGAGGTGAAGACGAGGTTGCAAGAGACACATAGGGGTTGGTTCAATTTAGGCGTGGATTCGCTAGGTAATTAAGAGTATACCTGTGTAATTCTTTTATGTCTTTTTAGTGGATTATTTTGTGACTTTTGTCAGTGGTTTTTTTATCACAATTGGAGGTGTCCAATTGTGATTTTTTTACGTAAAATCGTGGTGTTGATTTGTCTTGATTATTTAATTGGGATTGTTATATACTGCTTAAAATTGATACATAATCACAAATTAACATATAAGGGATTTCTAAATTTTTCAGGTGTAAAGAGATGAAAGGGTTTTGAAGAATCTACAATGGGGTTAATTTTGATAATATAATAGGTGTAATAAGAATCATATTTCTTTTAGTAGTATAATGAGATTAAGAGTGCAAAGAGACAAAGTAATGATATAAGTAGAATCACTCTATTATAACAATATATAACATAATGCATATAATTGTCCATTATGTACCATATATTAAAGTTCAAATTAAATGAAAAAATTAGTACAGTGCTAGAGATATATCATACTTTTGACTTTCCTGTTTTCTGGTCTTCCCTTTCGGCATTGTGCTTAATCCAAATTGAAGTCACCATTAATGGGCAAATTGAACAGCTACGCGTAGAGGAGACGTTACTATTTCTCTGGTGCTTTCTTTGGTTAGAGAATTTGAAAAAGGAAAAAAATATATATAAATAAAATATATTTATATTTTATCTAATTTTATATATATGTATATATATATATATATATTTTTTATTTCATATTACTCAATTTAAAATTTTACATATGAAGTGTGAAAATTATCTTTAAAATAAAGGGGTATTTTTTTTAAGGTCCCTGATATTATGATTTTATATTATAAAGGACATCAAATATTTTTATGATGTCTAAGATCCCTCAACATCAATCCAGAGAAAATTGATCCAGAGAAAATTCAAGTCAGAGAAAATTGGTCCAAAAAATTTCTCTGGACTTCCCTAAACTTTCTAAATTTCTCTGCCCCTTTTTTTTTTTTTGAACATAAGAATTCCCCTACCTCAACTCACTTCCTTGTTTCTCAAAGGTGAGGAAGAAAGGTAACTTCTCTAACCGATGAGCCTCCAAAAAACAGATGCAGAGAGGTGTTTGGTCCAGGCCATGAATACGAAGCAATGATAATGGAACAAATTTATGTAGTTCATCTATGGTATCCGTTATCATGAACCCAGAGAAATTTGAGAAATTCTTGCCTTCACTTAGCAGAGAAAATTTCTATGGCTTTGTGTGGCTCTATCCAGAGAAAATTGTGTAGAGGAAATTTGTGTTTTTGATCAAATCAGAGAAAATTGAACAAAAAACAAAAACAAAAAAAAAATAGATAAAAGAATTTATCTAGTTTAGGCATGGAAATACACCAATCAAGCTCATGAATACAAAGTTAGATTTTGCTCACTATTGAATTTTCAGCAACAACTTTTTTATGTGTTTTCAAATTTATCTAATTTGGGCTCTTAAACATTTGAACCCAAACATACATCATAAGCAATCCTCCAAAACTTTCTTTTCAGAGTAAACTGATATTTATACATAAAGACTCATCACAGTTGCTTATAATGGAGTCTTTGTGTATATCTCAGTAACTGATATAGATATGATGGAGACTTATCTCACCCTTAGAGTAATTATTGAGATAACTAAGACTTGTCTCACGCTCAAAGTAATTGCTTATGATGGAGACTTATCTTCAGCTTATCTCATCTTCTTCTCTTATCTTCAGCTTATCTCACATTCAGAGTAATCTTCCAAAACTTTCTCTGCTTTGACGAAACTCAGTGTAAACTTTCTTTGCTTCGACTTAACTTCTTGACGAAACCCAGAGTAATTGCTTCCAGTTTAAAACTTTCTTTGCTTCGACCAAAACTCAGAGTAAACTCTCATCCAAGAGGGAGATGATGATGGAGATGGAGACGACGGCAGCTGTGAGAAACCGAAGATGAGAGAGATAGATCTAGGTAAGGAAAGAGAGAAAGATCTAGGATTTTAAACTGGTAATTGAGATCGATGAGAGAAAGACAGAGAAGAGCAATAGGAGAGAGAGATAGAGAGTGTGAGATATATAAATTTCTCTGCGAGGACCTTATACATCAAAAAATAATATTGTGGATCTCTTCCATTACTAAAAATGAGAGAGGGACCTTAGACTAATTTTTCCTAATATTAATAGAGTTGTGATTAATGAATGAATAAAATAAAATCCATAAATTTGTGTTAGTGATCGAATAATATTAGAGATATGATAAATTATAATTAACGTAAGATATGCTATTTGACACCCTAGAAATCAATAATTTTTCACACATAACACCTTGAATGAATAAGTTTGAAACATGTATTACAAATATCAATTAATATATGATTTTCAAATTATAAAGCTGTCCATTATCCAACCTATAACAATTCAAAACTCCTAAAATTATAAAAGTGCTCATAGGTTTATTAATTTGCTAATTAGAGTGGTGATTCGAACTGGGTCTGATATTTATATTCTTTCACTTTGGAGTTTGTTTACGGTTCAAATTTGCACAGACAAGCGATCTTTTAACTATATGTTTCCAGTTACACTTCAGAACTTTGTCCATTAATGGCCTCTCTAAGATCTCAAGAAGCCACTTCTTCTAGGTCTCGCTTTGCTCACCATGTCCTCTTGAGTCGAGCTTCTGACACCCGCTGGACCTTTTCCGATCACCTCTACACAGCTCTAGTCGGTGCTGGTTTTCTTACTTTTAGGGTTGAAAATGATGATGAAATTGAGAGAGATGATGATGTTAAGATAGGGTTTGAGAGAGCAATTGAAGAATCTAGGAGCTGTATAATCGTCTTCTCGAAAGATTATGTTTGTTCGAGATCGTGTCTTGATGAGCTTGTGATGATTCTCGAACGCAAGAGAGGGTCTAAATATGTGGTTTTTCCAGTTTTCTATGATTTGGATCCATCACAAGTTAGGAAGCAAAGTGGGGTTGTTGGAGAGGCATTTGAGAGACACAAAGCTCAATTTGAGGATTGTGAGTTTGGGAAGATTGAAGAGTGGAGGGAAGCACTTAGAGAAGTTGCAGATCTGGCAGGGCTGGTGTTACAGAATCAAGCTGATGGGTAATTTCGTCTTCATAAATTCCTTAACTTGGGTTTTTTTTATTATTATTATTTGATAGAATCATGACTAAAAAAGTATGAGTTTTTTTTCTTGTTCTTTTTATTATTATTTATTTATTTTTACTTCAAAATGAGCCATATCATAGTGTGTGAAAATTCTGTTACATCAATTTTGTTTACATCATTTTACTTGTTCTAAACCAAACCAAACCTTAACTACCATCAAATGGGGTCCGCTACAAAAATTATTCTTCTCTATTCAACTCTATCCAAGGCCATATCGTTAGTTCGTCAAATTAAGACATAATTTTACTTGTTCTGAATCAATAAATTCAATCTGTACCAATACTTCTCTATACAATACCTCTCTCTAGGTGCCGTAATTCACATACCATAACTGAGGGACTTTACCACTCTTCATAATGTGTTTAACGGTTAACAGAACAAAATGCCTCTACTACTGCTGGGGTGCTTCTACTAATCTTTTTCCGTTCCATATGTACTCTTAGATAGTGTTTGTTTGGTTCACTGGAATAAAGCGGAATGGAATGATTGTTCTTTCAAAAAAATGTTCATTCTCATATTTGGTTGACTAAAAAAATAATAACAAAATATATTACGTATGGAATCATCATTCATCAGAGGGAATGGCAATTCTATATGAGAGCCCAAGGAATGATGATTCCATTCCATTCCAATTCATTCTAGTGAACCAAATAGAGCATTAATACTTGCTTTGAAATACACGAAGATGAAAACATTTAGGCCTTGTTTGGTTTGTATTTGAGAAACATGTTTTGAGATAAAAAGTACGAAAATTTGTTTGGTTTAATTTTTTTTCAAAAGATGTTTTGAAAAATTATTTTGAGAGAGAGTTTTAAAAAAAGTGATTGATTTGATGTGTTTGAGAGAGATTTGTTTGGAAAATTTGTAAACCAAATAAGTTTTGGAAAAATTTTTTGAGAAAATTTGTTTGGTTTGATTACTTTTGAAAACTTATTTGTAGAGAATTTTTTTCAAAATTTTTTGAGAAACACAAACCAAACAAGGCCTTAGGCTCCATTTGGATTTAAGGATTTCAAATGAAGAAGATTGGAAATCTGAGCCTAAAATCCTCAAGCCTCGTTTGGATGACCACACAGCATATATATTTTTAAGCCAGCCAAATCTGCCCATGAATTTGATTACCAAAATACAAGGATTTGAAATTATGCCTGAATAGTTGTTATTTAACAAATCCACTCTTCTCACGATGTGTCTCATTCACACTCAATGTATATATTGGACTCAATGGAAACATGAAACCAAGGAATCAAATCCTTGGCTGGAAATAATCTACTTGATTTCCCTATTGGGGTTTCTTGTATTCTTTTGCATCATCTTGAAGCTATTCTAATAAAGTTGTTTATTTATTTATCCAAAAAAAAGAAGAAGAAGAGAATCTACTTGATTTCACCATTGAATGTAGTTACAAAAAAAAAAGGTTCTTTTTTTTATTATTTTAAATTTTTTATATAAAAAAAAAAAAAAAATCATGTATTAGACTAAATTTAACAACTACCCAAAACAAGCTCTCCATATCCATACTCCTCATATGCTTATGCGCTAAAGGCATACAACACGCACATGAGGCGCACACCTCAAACTGTGATGAGCAAGCTTTTAGGGAGTGTCACCCAAAAATCAAAGCCCTGATGCATTTTTTTATTAGCCTCACTTTGAGGCGTCAATACCACCTCTTACAGCTTTGTTCATGACACACTTTCTTTGGCTTTTTTTCCGCCAACGCAATTTGCAGGTATGAGTCAAAGTTTATCAAGATAATTGTTGAAGAGATTGCAAATAAAATGGATCGCACAGTTTTGAGTGTTACCCCGTACCCAACTGGAATAGATTCTCGTGTAAAAGACATTAACCTGTGGCTGCAAGATGGGTCAAGCAATATTGGCATAATGGTGATTTATGGGATGGGTGGAATAGGTAAGACAACCATTGCAAAAACTGCTTATAACCAAAACTTTGAAAGATTTGATGGCAGCAGTTTTCTCGCAAATATTAGAGACACTTCAAAACAACCCAGAGGTTTGGTTCGTCTGCAAAAACAACTTCTTTCAGATATTGTCAAGCGGAAAAAGGAAAAACTACACAATGTTGATGAGGGAATCATTAAGATTAAAGATGCTATGTGCTGTAAAAGAGTTCTTGTTGTTCTTGATGATGTAGATCAATTGGACCAACTAAATGCAATATTTGGCATGCGAGACTGGTTTCATCCAGGAAGTAAAATTATCATAACAACCAGACATAAGCGAATGCTAAAGGCTTATGAAGCTCGTGAAATACACAAGGTTACAAAATTGAAAGACACTGAAGCGCTTTGTCTCTTCTGTCGACATGCCTTTGGACAAGACCATTCCGTTGAAGCTTACATGCAGCAGTCAATAAGGATAGTATCCTATTGCAATGGTCTTCCATTAGCTCTTGAAGTCTTAGGTTGTTCTCTATCTGGTGAAAGTGTTGATGTATGGGAAAGTGCATTAGCAAAATTGAGAACATTTTCTGATGTCAAAATCCACAACGTACGTCAAGTAAGCTACGAATGTTTAGACGATCATGACAAAGATTTATTCCTTGATATTGTCTGTTTCTTTGTTGGAGAGGACAAAGATTACATGGTTACAATACTAGATGGATGTGATTTCTACACAGAAGTTGGGGTTCAAAATCTCATTCGTAGATGTCTTGTATATGAAGTTGACAAGAAGCTTATGATGCATCAGTTGCTCAGTGAAATGGGTAGGGAAATTATTCTCCAAGCATCACCAAAGGAACTTGGAAGACGCAGTAGAGTGTGGGATCACAAGGATGCCTTCAGTGTATTAAAAGAAAAAACTGTAAGTTCTATGCTTTAGTAGTTAATTTATATGTTTTTTCCACTGTGGCAGCTAGTTATCCGCTCCTTTTCTTATCAGGGAACAAAAACAATTGAAGGCCTAATCCTCGACTTGCCGGAACTGAAGGAAGATATGCGAACCAAGCATGCAAATAATGCACAACATCATTTTGAAGATTTTCCTGGGAAATCGACAATGATTTTTGAAGGCAGTTCATCAAAGCGATGTTGCCTAGGCTTCTTGCCCTGGCTTAAGTTCTTCCTTAATGGAGTCAGATGAAGCAGTTTTGGAAACTGATGCGTTTTCACCGATGATCAAATTACGAATACTCCAGCTTTATGATGTACCACTCAGCAGAGGCTATGATGAATTTCCTAAGAAGTTAAGATGGCTGTGTTGGCATGGATTCCCTTTAACATTTATACCTAATGATTTTCCGCTAGATAGCATGGTTGTTCTGGACTTGCCCCATAGCAGCTTGCGACAATTTTGGAAGGGAACCAAGGTTTGATTAGTTTTTCTTTTCTTTTCTGTTTTTTTTTTTTTTTTTTAAAAAAAAAGAACTTTATTTTGGGATTATGTTGACTACTGTCTAGGGCATACTAATATACCAGTTTTTTTATGGCAGTTGCTCAAACTACTGAAGATCCTCAATCTCTCTCGTTCCTGTGACCTTACCAGTTCACCTGACTTCTCAAAGCTCCCTAATCTTGAGAGGTTGATTCTTAAAGATTGTATCAATTTGGTTGAGGTCCATGAATCCATTGTGGAACTAGGGAGACCTTCCGAAATAGGTTTAAATTGGCCTTTCACATAAGGTGTAAGTTCGAACAAAAGGTATAAATCTTATGCCAAAAATTCTTACACAAAAGGAGTAAGTGTTCATAAAAGGTGTAAATGATTTATACTTTTCAGTAATCAGTTACGCCTTTTCTGAAATTCCTTACGCCTTTCTTGAGACCATTTACACCTTTAGTCATATAATATATTATTTTATTAATTTACCTGGAAACTGACCTGCTTAGCAGGTCACCAATGTGTAAGTTTCCAAATATTTTGATATAACCCAATACATATAAATGTGTAAATACAAAATGGAAGGGTGTAACTGCCTTGCATACCATATGCAAGGCACACATGAGAAAAGTCCTAATCGAAATTGAAGTCACCATTAATGGGCAAATTGAACAGCTACGCGTAAAGGAGACGTTACTATTTCTCTGGTCTGGTGCTTTCTTTGGTTACAGAATTTGAAAAAGAAAAAAAAAATATATATATATATTTTACTTCTTTTTTTAAATTTTTTTTCAAATTTCTTAACTAAACATAGTATTAAAGTACTACCACATAATATTAATAGAGTTGTGATTAATGAATGAATAAAATAAAATCCATAAATTTGTGTTAACGATCGAATAATATTAGAGATTTGATAAACTATAATTAATGTAAGATATGCTATTTGACACCCTAGAAATCAATAATTTTTCACACATAACACCTTGAATGAATAAGTTTGAAACATGTATTACAAATATCAATTAATATATGATTTTCAAATTATAAAGCTGTCCATTATCCAACCTATAACAATTCAAAACTCCTAAAATTATAAAAGTGCTCATAGGTTTATTAATTTGCTAATTAGAGTGGTGATTCGAACTGGGTCTGATATTTATATTCTTTCACTTTGGAGTTTGTTTACAGTTCAAATTTGCACAGACAAGCGATCTTTTAACTATATGTTTCCAGTTACACTTCAGAACTTTGTCCATTAATGGCCTCTCTAAGATCTCAAGAAGCCACTTCTTCTAGGTCTCGCTTTGCTCACCATGTCCTCTTGAGTCGAGCTTCTGACACCCGCTGGACCTTTTCCGATCACCTCTACACAGCTCTAGTCGGTGCTGGTTTTCTTACTTTTAGGGTTGAAAATGATGATGAAATTGAGAGAGATGATGATGTTAAGATAGGGTTTGAGAGAGCAATTGAAGAATCTAGGAGCTGTATAATCGTCTTCTCGAAAGATTATGTTTGTTCGAGATCGTGTCTTGATGAGCTTGTGATGATTCTCGAACGCAAGAGAGGGTCTAAATATGTGGTTTTTCCAATTTTCTATGATTTGGATCCATCACAAGTTAGGAAGCAAAGTGGGGTTGTTGGAGAGGCATTTGAGAGACACAAAGCTCAATTTGAGGATTGTGAGTTTGGGAAGATTGAAGAGTGGAGGGAAGCACTTAGAGAAGTTGCAGATCTGGCAGGGCTGGTGTTACAGAATCAAGCTGATGGGTAATTTCGTCTTCATAAATTCCTTAACTTGGGTTTTTTTTATTATTATTATTTGATAGAATCATGACTAAAAAAGTATGAGTTTTTTTTCTTGTTCTTGTTCTTTTTATTATTATTTATTTATTTTTACTTCAAAATGAGCCATATCATAGTGTGTGAAAATTCTGTTACATCAATTTTGTTTACATCATTTTACTTGTTCTAAACCAAACCAAACCTTAACTACCATCAAATGGGGTCCGCTACAAAAATTATTCTTCTCTATTCAACTCTATCCAAGGCCATATCGTTAGTTCGTCAAATTAAGACATAATTTTACTTGTTCTGAATCAATAAATTCAATCTGTACCAATACTTCTCTATACAATACCTCTCTCTAGGTGCCGTAATTCACATACCATAACTGAGGGACTTTACCACTCTTCATAATGTGTTTAACGGAACAAAATGCATCTACTACTGCTGGGGTGCTTCTACTAATCTTTTTCCGTTCCATATGTACTCTTAGATAGTGTTTGGTTCACTAGAATAAAGCGGAATGGAATGATTGTTCCTTCAAAAAAATGTTCATTCTCATATTTGGTTGACTAAAAAAGCTCTTCATAATTTTTTTAACAGAACAAAATGCCTCTACTACTGCTGGGGTGCTTCTACTAATCTTTTTCCGTTCCATATGTACTCTTAGATAGTGTTTGTTTGGCTCACTGGAATAAAGCGGAATGGAATGATTGTTCCTTCAAAAAAATGTTCATTCTCATATTTGGTTGACTAAAAAAATAATAACAAAATATATTACGTATGGAATCATCATTCATCAGAGGGAATGGTAATTCTATATGAGAGCCCAAGGAATGATGATTCCATTCCATTCCAACTCATTCTAGTGAACCAAATAGAGCATTAATACTTGCTTTGAAATACACGAAGATGAAAACATTTAGGCTCCATTTGGATTTAAGGATTTCAAATGAAGAAGATTGGAAATCTGAGCCTAAAAGCCTCAAGCCTCGTTTGGATGACCACACGGCATATATATTTTTAAGCCAGCCAAATCTGCCCATGAATTTGATTACCAAAATACAAGGATTTGAAATTATGCCTGAATAGTTGTTATTTAACAAATCCACTCTTCTCACGATGTGTCTCATTCACACTCAATGTATATATTGGACTCAATGGAAACATGAAACCAAGGAATCAAATCCTTGGCTGGAAATAATCTACTTGATTTCCCTATTGGGGTTTCTTGTATTCTTTTGCATCATCTTGATGCTATTCTAATAAAGTTGTTTATTTATTTATCAAAAAAAGAAGAAGAAGAAGAGAATCTACTTGATTTCACCATTGAATGTAGTTACAAAAAAAAAAAAGGTTCTTTTTTTTTAATACTTTAAATTTTTTATATAAAAAAAAAATAAATAAATAAATAAAATCATGTATTAGACTAAATTTAACAACTACCCAAAACAAGCTCTCCATATCCATACTCCTCATATGCTTATGCGCTAAAGGCATACAACACGCACATGAGGCGCACACCTCAAACTGTGATGAGCAAGCTTTTAGGGAGTGTCACCCAAAAATCAAAGCCCTGATGCATTTTTTTATTAGCCTCACTTTGAGGCGTCAATACCACCTCTTACAGCTTTGTTCATGACACACTTTCTTTGGCTTTTTTTCCGCCAACGCAATTTGCAGGTATGAGTCAAAGTTTATCAAGATAATTGTTGAAGAGATTGCAAATAAAATGGATCGCACAGTTTTGAGTGTTACCCTGTACCCAACTGGAATAGATTCTCGTGTAAAAGACATTAACCTGTGTCTGCAAGATGGGTCAAGCAATATTGGCATAATGGTGATTTATGGGATGGGTGGAATAGGTAAGACAACCATTGCAAAAACTGCTTATAACCAAAACTTTGAAAGATTTGATGGCAGCAGTTTTCTCGCAAATATTAGAGACACTTCAAAACAACCCAGAGGTTTGGTTCGTCTGCAAAAACAACTTCTTTCAGATATTGTCAAGCGGAAAAAGGAAAAACTACACAATATTGATGAGGGAATCATTAAGATTAAAGATGCTATGTGCTGTAAAAGAGTTCTTGTTGTTCTTGATGATGTAGATCAATTGGACCAACTAAATGCAATATTTGGCATGCGAGACTGGTTTCATCCAGGAAGTAAAATTATCATAACAACCAGACATAAGCGAATGCTAAAGGCTTATGAAGCTCGTGAAATATACAAGGTTACAAAATTGAAAGACACTGAAGCGCTTTGTCTCTTCTGTCGACATGCCTTTGGACAAGACCATTCCGTTGAAGCTTACATGCAGCAGTCAATAAGGATAGTATCCTATTGCAATGGTCTTCCATTAGCTCTTGAAGTCTTAGGTTGTTCTCTATCTGGTGAAAGTGTTGATGTATGGGAAAGTGCATTAGCAAAATTGAGAACATTTTCTGATGTCAAAATCCACAACGTACGTCAAGTAAGCTACGAATGTTTAGACGATCATGACAAAGATTTATTCCTTGATATTGTCTGTTTCTTTGTTGGAGAGGACAAAGATTACATGGTTACAATACTAGATGGATGTGTTTTCTACACAGAAGTTGGGGTTCAAAATCTCATTCGTAGATGTCTTGTATATGAAGTTGACAAGAAGCTTATGATGCATCAGTTGCTCAGTGAAATGGGTAGGGAAATTATTCGCCAAGCATCACCAAAGGAACTTGGAAGACGCAGTAGAGTGTGGGATCACAAGGATGCCTTCAGTGTATGAAAGGAAAAAACTGTAAGTTCTATGCTTTAGTAGTTAATTTATATGTTTTTTCCACTGTGGCAGCTAGTTATCCGCTCCTTTTCTTATCAGGGAACAAAAACAATTGAAGGCCTAATCCTCGACTTGCCGGAACTGAAGGAAGATATGCGAACCAAGCATGCAAATAATGCACAACATCATTTTGAAGATTTTCCTGGGAAATCGACAATGATTTTTGAAGGCAGTTCATCAAAGCGATGTTGCCTAGGCTTCTTGCCCTGGCTTAAGTTCTTCCTTAATGGAGTCAGATGAAGCAGTTTTGGAAACTGATGCGTTTTCACCGATGATCAAATTACGAATACTCCAGCTTTATGATGTACCACTCAGCAGAGGCTATGATGAATTTCCTAAGAAGTTAAGATGGCTGTGTTGGCATGGATTCCCTTTAACATTTATACCTAATGATTTTCCGCTAGATAGCATGGTTGTTCTGGACTTGCCCCATAGCAGCTTGCGACAATTTTGGAAGGGAACCAAGGTTTGATTAGTTTTTCTTTTCTTTTCTGTTTTTTTTTTTTTTTTTTAAAAAAAAGAACTTTATTTTGGGATTATGTTGACTACTGTCTAGGGCATACTAATATACCAGTTTTTTTATGGCCGTTGCTCAAACTACTGAAGATCCTCAATCTCTCTCGTTCCTGTGACCTTACCAGTTCACCTGACTTCTCAAAGCTCCCTAATCTTGAGCGGTTGATTCTTAAAGATTGTATCAATTTGGTTGAGGTCCATGAATCCATTGTGGAACTAGGGAGACTAGTATTGTTGAATCTTAACGGCTGCAAAAATCTTAGGAAAATTCCAAGGAAAATTTGTCAGCTTAATACCCTTGAAAAACTCAAATCTTTCGGGTTGCTCGAAGCTTGATGAGTTGCCTACAGATTTGTGCAAGATGGAGTCTTTGAGAGAGTTTGAAGCAGATGGAGTAAATCTGCTATCCTCAACCACAGGAAAGGTTAAATCATGGCATGGCGTAATCATGTCTTTGGTGTCAAAACCTACTAAAAGCCTAGAATTTTCATTGGCTTCTTTACCAAGCTTTTTAGTATGTCTAAGCCTTGCAGATTGTGGTATATCTGATGATTCATTTCCTAGGGATATAAGTAGCATGCCCTTGTTGCAGGCATTAAGACTTTAGCAACAATCCAATTAGTGGCCTACCGGTGAGCATAAGAAATCTTAGTGTGCTCAAACAACTTGATTTAGAGCGCTGCACAAGGCTCCGCACACTACCAGAGCTTCCGATGACTTTACAAGCATTGTCAATATATGGATGCAAATGGCAACAAATCTACCAAACCTGTTGAATTCACTAATGCTGAGCTCATATGGCTGTGTAAAACTAGTTCATGTTCAGGAATTGTTCAAGTTGGAACCCATTGGAAATTTTTATTCAGAAATGATGCAGAATTTGGGCTTGGCTCAGTTGGAATTGATGGGAAGTTTTGAGCTGGAACTGTTCAATAACCTAACGCTTACAAAAACAAAAAATCCAGTACTCCAGGTGCTCTCTCTCTCTCTCTCTCTCTCATATGTGTCATTAATATAGCTAGCAGCGGAGCCACTATGAGACCAAGAGGGCATGTACCCCCTCAACTTTTAAAAAAATATTTTTTAGTCTAATGTTTAATGTTGTCAATTTTCTCCCTTTAAAATTATATAGATGCTCTAAATGTTTCTCTATTTTTTCTCCCAAGAAACTCGACACACCATTAACTAGAAGAGGGACAGATTGACTATTTGTTTGTTTCACAATTAAATCTAAGAAAGCGTTTTGTTTGATCATGTGTAGTTTATTTCATTTTTTATTGTTTGAGTTCTATAGATTGTAATGTTACGATGATCTCATTGTAGTGATGTGTGATATTGAGTAGCTTTAAAATAATTTTTTATTTTTTATTTTGTTTTTTACCAAACTAAAGCAAATTAAGCCTTTTCCGTCAAACTGATTTGGCCCAATAATTTGCCTTAACTGTAAATAACTGTGAATTCTATTAAACAAAGGCTATGAATGTTCTCTCATATGTGTTTCATTATCATTAATATAATTTTGAATTCTATCAAACGGGGACTCCATGAATGTGGCATATATAGCATATTTCTTCCCAGGAATGAAGTTCCAGGTTGGTTCAGCATTAAGAATACGGGGTCCTCAATATCTTTTAATGTGCCTTCACCTCCTAGTGTTAAGGTCCGGGGCCTGAACGTGTGCGTTTCCTATGCACTTAACTCGGATTATATGAAATCAAAGTGGATGTATGAATGTATTAGAGTCAATAACAAGACCAAGGGTTTGAAATGGACCTATCGGCCAGCGCTTACAGGCATAGCAGACAAAGGCAAAGATATGATATGGTAAAGTGACTGGAAGATTGCGGATCAACTAATGAACGGTGGTGATGAAGTGACTATCTCAGTGAACATGGAAGAACAATATCAGTTGAAGGAGTTTGGAATTCGGATTGTGTACGATGAACAAGAAGAGAAAGTTACTGCGCACAACACAACCTATCCTTGTCCGCAGAATGCCATTGATTTGTCAGCATACGAGATGAGTGCAGGTGAGTACTTCCTATGCAACCATGATGAATATACTAGGACTGACTACTACTCAAGAATAGATGGGTTGCCATCAGATTTTGTGGAAACACGTTGGTGTGGCTTCCAATGTGATATACATATAAAGCAGTACTGACAAAGAGCACTCATTGGACACTTATATGTGTCAGGCACACATTCAAACATATTATATTACTTCTTTCATGCTTTGGATCTTTAGGAGAGGCATGTGTTCATCATTTAGCACATAATCACATTTGAATTTTAAAGAAAATAATTTAAGATCTAATAATAAAAGTTTTAAACAAAAAAAGGAGTAAATTTATCAGTTTGTTTGTGTCAGGTTGATTGTCAATGTTCTTGCTTCCATCAGCTTATTTCTTACAGACTGAAGGGATCCAATATTCTGTTTATTTTCTTATCTAAGTGAGGAAGCATACGGTAATTTTTCCCCTAGCCAGGTGTTCAAGTTCTACTTTTGATTCTTTTCTGCTTTGTTTTTTATTTTATTTTATTTAAATGTGTAACAAAATTCCTAATTAAAATTATCCATTAAGATGGGTCAGCTTCTCATTAAAAATATCCCATTTCTTAATGGAGCAAAAAAAAAATAAAAATAAAAAGGGATAAATTACTATGATATTTTTAGAAGCGTTATAATTTTGGTATAATTATATTAAATTTTCAAAATTTTAATTCAAGTAACATCTAACTTATTTTTCATTAATAATTTATTATTTATATGAATCGAAGAATGGTATTATCTTTTTTATATTGAAATGTATATATATTTTTTTATTTTTGTCTTTTCACATTATCTGCTTTAGCTCTGATACCTTTAGCGCGAGATAAATATAATTATGTTAAAATTATGAGACTAATTATATTTTCTTTGAAATACTCTGAATTTCAAAGAAGAGCAATATAGTTTAGCATATAAATAATGACATTTTTTAAAGCATATTGGACATATTTGGTTTGTCTCTCAAAACATGTTTTTGGAGAAAAAAATTCCAAAATCATTTTTCTCTACTACACATCAATCAATTAATTTTTCTTTCTTTTTCTTCTCAATCACTTTTTCTCTCACTTACCTATTAAATTACAAAAAAATATGGGCAAATTAAAATAAATAAATAAAAATTCAGGGTTTCGTGTGTTTTTTAATTTAAATATCAGGGTTTCAATTTTAACAATTAAAATCCTGATGTTACTTCTATGTCACAATTGACCCCCTTCGTCCATCTCCGTTTGATGAACTAACGAAGACCTCCATTTCAACAGTTGAATTTTTAGATTCAAACCCACATTCAAATCCTTATATCTTTTTTAGCGTAATTCTGTTTCACTTCACTTTTGCATCGTTAGATTCATTGTATGTCCTAATTTTCATTTCATCTCTGTTACGCCTTGTTCCACTTCTCTCTGGAAGTTGACAAAAAATAAGTTCTCTCTCTCTCTCTCTCTCTCTCTCTCTCTCTCTCTCTCTCCACCGTCGAAGGTTCGGTGGCCACCACGAGCTCAATGGAACGGCCATGAAGGTTTGTCTCTCAAAACATGTTTTTGGAGAAAAAAATTCCAAAATCATTTTTTTCTATTGCACATCAATCAATCAATTTTTCTTTCTTTTTCTTCTCAATCACTTTTTCTCTCACTTACCTATTAAATTACAAAAAAATATGGGCAAATTAAAATAAATAAATAAAAATTCAGGGTTTCGTGTGTTTTTTAATTTAAATATCAGGATTTCAATTTTAACAATTAAAATCCTGATGTTACTTCTATGTCACAATTGACCCCCTTCGTCCATCTCCGTTTGATGAACTAACGAAGACTTCCATTTTCAACTGTTGAATTTTTAGATTCAAACCCACATTCAAGTCCTTATATCTTTTTTAGCGTAACTCTGTTTCACTTCACTTTTGCATCGTTAGATTCATTGTATGTCTTAATTTTCATTTCATCTCTGTTACGCCTTGTTCCACTTCTCTTTGGAAGTTGACAAAAAATAAGATCTCTCTCTCTCTCTCTCTCTCTCTCCACCGTCGAAGGTTCGGTGGCCACCACGAGCTCAATGGAACGGCCATGAAGGAAGAAGAAAAGAGAGAATAATTGTGGAAATGAATGAGGAAGGAAGAAGCATGGAGATGAAAATAGAGGAAGAAAAAGAAAAAGAAAATCTTATTTTTTGGCCAATTTTCAGAGTTCTGATGGCACACAAAAGAGGTGGAACAAAACGTATGAGGGATGGAATGAAAACAAGGCCATGGGGTAAATCCAACGACGTAAAAATTAGGCGAAATGGAATTACGACGAGGGAGTTACAAAGGTTTGAACATGTAAGTTTAAATCTAACAATTCTACTACTGAAAATAGAGGTCTCTGTTAGTTCATTAGACGGAGATGGATGGAGGGGGTAAATTGTGACACGGAAGTAACATCAGGTTTTAATTGTTAAAATTGAAACCTTGAGGTTTAAATTGAAAAATACGCGAAACTCTGGAGATTTTTTATTTTTATTTTTATTTTTTTTAAATTGCCCAAAAAAAATCAAATCTCAAATCACGGATTTGCGTTGCATGAAATCTATCCTAAACTTCAAAACTATTTTCAATATATATAACTAAACAAGATTTCAAATTTTTTGAACTTTGTCTAGAAAATTATTTTCGAAATAATATCTCAAAACAAAAATCAAACATGGCTATTTTGGTCATGTCTATGTGATTTCACTGTACCCTATTAAATTAATACAGTAATAACACATCACATGATATATGAATATGATAATTTTTCTTGACTTGTAGTTTTCCTAATTTCTCATCTTCTTTTATTTTTGTGCTATTTTTAATTTTTTTTAATCAAATAGGATATTAAGAAATTAATAAATTAAATTATTTTTATGAACATTCAATAATTTTTCATGAACTCAAATGGAGCTTAGTTCAAGTTAGGGCTGGAGAAGCATATGTTTGACTCACCAAAATTTAATGGTCTGAACTGATCTGTTATAAAATGAGTGATTTCGATAGTCCAAGCGAATTGATGTAGATATATATTTTTCAATCTGTCTAATTTATTTATTTATTTATTGTTAGCATTCTGAAAAATGATTCTATACTTTATGCTTTATATGTTAAAAAAAATGTCTTTTTACTAACTAGTAATTATAGCTATTATGAAATAGGAAAGTTGGACCTTTTATTTTTATTATAAAAGATAATAAAGAATAAAATTTTTTGGACCTAAACAAGTACTTTCTTTTGGATTTGTTTTTGTTGTTTGATTATTTCTTTAGTCCTTTAGGGTCTTATTGTTTTTATTTTTAATTTGTATATTGTTTATTTTGTTTTAATATAATTGCTTTTTATATTCTCAATAAATAATTAAAGAACTACTAGTTTATAGTATGAAAAAAAACAAAAAAATCAAAACAGTAAAACTCAAACTGCCAAGCTGATCTTCATTCACCCACTAAGTTGCACTGTTTGCTTAATCTGCATACGTTAATTACATAGAAAATATATATTGATTCTTTTCAATCTGCTAAATTCAAACGCATAACAAATGGATGATTTATAGTCTTTGAGGAGCTAGTACCACATTTCCCTAGTTAGATTGATCAAATTCACATTTATAAATTATAAATATTAGATTGTACGTATTATTATTCTATTAGAATGAGTAAAATGATATTAGTCAATAATTAAGGCCAAATCTAATATTTCATTAAATGTTTCATCAAATTTAAATTTGATGAAAAGCGCATTAAAACTCAAGTCCAACTATTTTATCAAATCGATATCAAATGAATGAAGAATTAATTTTTTTATCAAATCAAGAGAGGTTTATCGTTTTATCAACACATCTTTTGTTAAGAGTCTCAAACAAATTTTTCTTTCTTTTTTTTTTTTCAAATTTAACAGAACCAGTTATATTTATCCCATTTATCAGTGGAGGTACAATATAATTTATCCTAAAGAAATAACAATAAAAATAGTTACTTGACTTGACCCAATTTTTGATTATCATTATTTATTTATTTATTTATTTTTTTGTGCTTGTGCATTCAAACTTTCTCAGCAGCATCATGTATGCCGCACCCCTTTAACTCTATCTGCACTTCTTTCATTTGGAAAATTCTCTGGCGCGTGTAGTACACAGTATATATAATTCTATCATAAAATTATATAAATTTTTACAAACTTACACAAATAATCT